TTCAAGATCCAGTTTTGTATTGCTACTCTTTGCTCAGTTAGCAAGGATTTTTTTTATGAGCTTTGATTTTTTTTTTTTTTTTTCCGCCCTTCCTCTTCTCCCCCTTTTACTCTCTGTAGTACCTGCATCCCCACCTTTGTCTTTCTTTCTTCCTCCTATTTGCCTAACCCACTGTGTCCCTTTCTCTATCTCCTGTCTCCCTTATCCCTGGTATCGTTATCCACATTCTCTGATGTCACTTTCCTCAGGGTGGCATGCCAATTAACTGCCTACTACCTCCTGCTCACCCACTGGTCTTGTAGTTAGGGAGTGGGAGAGAAAGACAGGTTTTGTGGGTGGCTACTACTCTTTTGTTGGCATGACTGTGACCAGCCTTAATGGATGGATGAGTGCCTGTGGATGCCAATAGGGAGAGCCAGTGTTTAGTGGTAACTAGCACAGGCGGCCACTGTTTTCAAGAGACCACATTCATCTCATTAAATGGTATGCATCCTGTATCCCTGGGTGTGGCCTGGATCCCTGGGTGTGGGATATTTTCCCCTGGACTAAGGAAATAGCAAACAACATCTTTAATATAAAAGATGAAGAACACTTTTTGATTAATAATGGCATCTTTCATTCGGAGGGATTCACAGGCTCTTCACAAAACATACGTGGGGATTGCTTCATTCACCACTGAAATTGTGCTAAAATAGGGCAACTGTTGAAAACATAGCAACACCACCTTTGCCTGACAGCTTTAAGAGCTGCTCTTTTGCATATGTGCTCCTTTGTGTATGAGCACATAAAAGGGCATATGCAAATACATAGGTGCCTATTTGTTCCAGCAGTAGGAGCAGTGAAATAGCTTCCGAACAGTCCTTTTGTTAGCTAAGGAATTATTCTGTCAAGGATTTTTTTTTTTTAACTGCACCCTTCCCCTTAACACAGAATATATAGGTCTTGCATCTGTTTAAGTTGTGTTCCTGGGGTGGCAGCCCAAAGGGCATCTGTCTTCACCTCATGCCTTTGTCTTTTTTTTCCATCCAATCTCTTTGCATGTTATGACAACACTTAGGCAAGGCAAAGCACAAAGGAGCAGCAGTTCCCAGGACATTAAAGGCCATCTGCTTCTCAGCTGGAAAGGAATGTGGAGTGGCATGGAGGTCTGAGTGTCCCTCACTGCTGAACTCTGCTCCAGTGCAGACAAACCTTTTCTTTGGCTGGTGTCCATGTCTCCTTTTGCTGGTCTTGGCCTTCTAAAGCCAGTGCTGGGAGAGTTGTGGGGGCAGGTGGGACTGACTGGATTTCTACTATTTCTTGGCTGACAGCTTCTGCTGGCCTGGCAGTTTTCAGGCATACGTCAGGTGTGGGATACTGCATGGTATGCAGTTGCCCTATCCAGGCAGTCATGCACAACAGTTTATCATAAAGCAGAAGAACGATGGGTGGGAGAATTACACTAAATTATACTGTAAAAAGCTATTGAAGGAAAAAAAATATTGTTTCATATAGTAAGGCACAGGGACTTGAGGTTCATATCGCTAATGTATTCTGTTTTTCAGGTCTGGAGTGTTCCACTTTGTACAGAACTCAAGGGTCAAGCAGCTCTGCAGAATTAAGACAAATTCTTGAATGTGGTAAGTACCATTATCCATTTTACAGTACTGTGAAGGGCTTGTAGTAATACTGATCACTTTTTTAAAACGTGTAGCACATCTTGGTAAATTCTCAGCATAGGCCCACTGTTGTATAGTGTTGTGGATCTACTTTATACAGTAAGATGCAAGCATCCAAAAAAACCCCAATCCAGTAAATTGCTAACATTTTCTGGGAAGAGCCACAGGTAATAAACTGGGGTGCAGACAGAAGTGCAGCTCTCCGCTGTAACTGAGAATGCTTTGCAGGAATTGTTCTGAGTTACAGTGATCCCCTGGACCAAACAGAAGCTCACTGTTGGTTACAGGGGGTAGGAGAATCTAGCTGCTGGCTGCAGCCTACAGCTGATTTTCTGTAGCAACAGCCCCTCCTCCCTCCCAGCCGGTGCTGTTTTCAGAATGGGAGGGAGCGGAAGGCGCTCCTTCTAGGAGTTCTCTTGCTGGCACCGGAGGGTAGGGCCAGGTGTACAGGAGCCTCCTTCCCCTACCCTCCCCTGAGGTGGGGGGGCTCTAATACATTCATCCCACCCTCCAGCAGGGGCTGAAAAAAAACCCAGACCAAACTCCCTCCACGTGCTTTCTCCCCTCCCATTCTGAAAACAGTAACAGGCTGGGAGGCAGTGCAGACAGTAGACACAAGTTACAGAAGATGCTCTGTTTTGAAACATCTTCCTCTGAACCCTCATGCAATGGGGATTCAAATTTTACCCCCATTGGGTATTTTTAAGCAGTCTGCAGCCATGTACTTGTGTTTGGTCAGACACACTGCTGTCTGTGGCCAGATTAGACAAAACTTGGCACTTCTGTCCATGCCCCTGCTAAACTTCAGAGCCACAGGCTAAGCATATTGCCGATCTAGATGAAAAATAGTAGCATACAGCAACACCCAGTTGAACTGTGGAAGAGCAGTAGCTCTGCTTTTACAATGGCAGTACTCAACACTCTTGCAAGGTCTGCAGAAGTGTGCTCATGAGCTTCTTTTTACCAAGATGTGCATGAGACTGCAAGGGCATCCTACCAGTGAACAAGTCTAGAAAATGAAACATTATGCTTGGTATTACCAAGAGCACAAAATATGCAAAATGAAAACAGGAATTTTCTGTACTCAATTTTAATAACAGAAGGTATTAAAAATGGATTGTTCCTTTAAATCTAACTGGCATCATGATTGCTAATGACAGCAGTATGTATAGTAGTATTAGTAATACAATTACTTGTTTTTTTCCAGTATTAGTAAATTCAGACTTTTCCTGCAAATTTCTTCCCCCGTAAGCATTTTTATAGGGTTTTATGTCTGTCAGGAAAACCAACCTGGCTTGCAGTGACCAAGCGCACCTCAAATTTTACATCTTGCTCCTTTTGACTTCTTGTATTCACCTATAATGTAATAGGTGAAATACTATGCACTGTATCACATTTTGAAAATGCTTGTTCATGTTCTTCAGTTTACTCACAAAAATATTTCCAGATTTGGGAACCCAAATCTCTAATTAAGAAACCAGTAGAAAAACTACATTTGTACCAAACTAGGATGTGTGTTGCTGCTTATTATATTTCTGTATATGCATAATATTTACATGTAAAATATAGGCCTGTTAAAAAATATCCAGGTGTCATATAACTTTGCAGAACTATAACAATTTACCTCTATTGCAACAGGCATAAATTGCAGCATTATGTTATAAAGGTATTCCTTATATTACTTACATGATTGGTTTACAAAAAAGCAAAAAGCAAAATATGTTTAGAAAAAATGGCTACGTCAGAAATTGTTTCAGTAAAGTCATAGCAACCCTCAGAATAGGCTGCCTGTAGGGTCCAAAACCAGGATGTTTATCAACAATTTACAGATCCTCTTTACTAATGATATAATCTACTATCATCCACTATGGAGACTAGCCACTAGAGGGGGACATGGCTTACATTTTTTTGTGTTGTAAAACCATTTATTGGACCACACAGTGCTAATAAATATTTGAGGTATTGCAACATTTTCACACAATATATCCCTTGCTTGAGCACTTTAAATACCATATGCAAATGTCTAATATTTTGCTATTTATTAGTTAATTTCTGTATGACTGAAGGATCCAATCCCTGCACTTTACGATACTGCTGTACAATTTTGTGTCTTCTATGGGAAATGCTGCACATTGTATATTGTCTCAGCAAAGATGCATGGTTAGATGCCTCAAGATAATTCATGCAAATCGTTCTTTGTAAATCAAATTTAGGGTGGTTGTTTCACTTTGCTATGAAATAATTTTAAGGCCCTACAAAATTCAGAAATATCTTATGTCTGGAAAATATTATATTTTTCCTTCAGAGCTGTCTTCATTGGATTTTGACACAATTGACTTGCAGACCTTATCAGATGCTCTCAAGAGATATCTCCTGGACCTGCCAAATCCAGTCATTCCAGCATCTGTGTACAGTGAAATGATTTCTGTAGCTCAAGGTATGAATATAAAAGTGTTTTTACTTGCAGCAAGGAAAAAAAAGATTTCTTAGAATCTGAAGTCTGCAGCACACATCAGTTCACCCTACATCATATAGGGAAATGTTTTATATACCACAGGAAGTTCCCAGATTAAAGGGGGTTTTCTGTACTCACAGTGTATGAACTGTTTAGGTGATAAAAGCTGCTGAAATTCAGCCCAGGAGATGCATTACATATCCACATGAATATAAAAAAAAAAACTGTAAGAGATTACATGGTTTGATGCCTTAAAACAAGTAAAAATGACTAAGCAAGTGCCAGCTGAAAAAAAAATCAAGGACTTCTCTATATGTAGAAAGAAGCTAATTTTTAACTTTTTATCAGTTCTGGCAAAGTAAATGTATCAGAGAACATGGTGTTCTAAGGGACCATTGACAGTTATGGACTATGAAGCTTCAGAAACAGATGAGCCACAAACATCCTTCTGTCATGGTCAATTCAGATGAGCACACCTCACAGTTTTCAGACTGTTGGCCTAGTACTCTGCTCTTGCATGGTCTGGGGGCAGGATATTGTGGCTGGTAACCTTCAAAGTTAGAATAGCACCTGTGAGTTTTATCTACTGCATCTCAGAATTACCCAATCGTGTATGACGCTAAACACAAGACAGACTTCCACCAGTACATGCTGAACATGTTGTGGTTTTTACCAAACTACTGTCTGTTTCCATTTGACTTTTAAATAGTTGTTTTTTCTTTCACTTGAGTTCTTCACTTTCAGAAGAAGAAATGGGAGCTTGTTTCTTGTGAAGGACAGACCTTTTTTTCCTCTGTAAAAATTATGCTTCCAGGGGAACTGTTCATGGGCTTTATTTTACTTGTTGAATGAGTCTCTGCTGATATCAAGAGACTTTTATCTGTTTGCTTGCAGAAGTGCAGAGCTCAGAGGATTATGTTCAGTTGCTGAAGAGACTCATCAGATCTCCAAATACACCTCCCCAGTATTGGCTCACCCTTCAGTATTTACTGAAACATTTCCTCAGACTTTGTCAAGCCTCCAGCAAAAATCTTCTGAATGCAAGATCCCTCGCTGAAATTTTTAGCCCTCTACTTTTCAAATTCCAGATATCAAGGTATGTGATATATCGTGATTATGTTCTATACCATAAACATTAAATGTAACTGTTTAATACAGAGAAGTTAACTTAATAAATGGGCATGGAATTAATATTTAGATCTTGCCTACGAACTGCTTTCTGGAGGGTGCTAATGTAAGCTTATATATTTTTTCCAAGTCTTACTGTGTAATCAATATCTTGCAGCTCTGATAATGCTGAGCACCACATAAAAATCCTAGATGTTTTAATCACAAGTGAATGGAATGAAAGACAACCTGTACCAGGTAAAAAAAAAAAAAGTTTATATTTTAAATATTATCATTTATTGATAATTTTAAAATAACAGTAGGTTCGGGAAACATTAAATGTACATTTTATTTTCTTCAAAGTAAGCTTAAGGGCAAAAGTGCATTTAATAGAATGATTGTGGAATTAAGTAGATACACATTAGAGGCTAATTGGTTTTCAGGAAACTGTCTTTTAAATAAAAATTGTTTTAGAATGAATAATTTTTGCAGATGTGTTTTTTAACCTTAGGAACTTTACTGTTTTTAGAAACTGCATAGAGAATCAGGAATGTCAGATATTGGTGAGGCAATAAATATTTCCTTTTCTCTGTGTTATTAAGTGTGGGCCAGGTTCTGAAGTTCTCACTGAATTTTCAGTCTTTCCAAGGGAAATTTCCCTAAAAGACTTGTATTTATTGAAGACCATGTGTCTCTCTATATAGTTGTTTATATTCTTTTTAATCCAGATACGCTGAAAATATTGTCAAATTCTTATTCTGCAGAAAGTTGATGCAAGAGGTGGGAGTACATTTGCATGCTCAAAGTCGCTTAAAACTTGAGCCTAGCAGTATTTTATGCAACAGGCTGCATTTAAAATCAAATGTTCTTTCTTTTCTTGATGTAACCGAGGTAGTATTGCTTGACTTGTGCAAAAGAGATTTTGTTGCTCTGCAAGCTGTTTCTCACTTCAGCAAAAGAAATGTGTGTTTGATATGAAAGAACTGGAAGCAGTGGCTTCAAGTAATCCATTTTACAACTTATTAGCAAGTGGTACTTAAGGTGAGGAGGACCATTATGGACAAAATATTACACATGGTCTGGTGTTCCTACCTCTCTTCTTTTGAAGTACAATAAAAAGGTTACATAAGTAGGTGTTTGCATGACTGGATTAGAATAGGAGTGCCTGGGTGCAGGCTTCTCAGAACAATAGTGCATTATTCCAAATCCTCCTTTTTTTTTTTCTTTTGCATTTCTATTTTAATGTGATCTTAAAATTTTGGGGGGAATGTCAAAAGTCTACATTACTTTTAGGCATGTACAAAGAGAATTAAATGGAAGGACTCAGAACCTTAAGAACTGCTGGCCATAGTTTGTTCCAAATCCGAAAATAACTTGTGTTTAATTGAATCAAAGAACGATTTTGTTCTTGCCATGTTAGAAGCCTTGACAAATAAAATACATTATTAAATCTCATGAAGGCTCAGAAACAGTAGCAGTGTGTGCTAAGACTGGTAAATTTGCAAGCACTTTTGATATAGAAATGTGGGCAGCTCTAAACTGGAAGGCTGGTCGTCATATAGCATAGGGACAAGAAAAAGTGATAGTATCTTAGGTTAGTTATTTAGATCACTTTGTTACATTGCATTATTAGCACTTAACATTTAGAAACTTTGATGGAAAAATGTCAACATCCAGAACTGAGAAGGGACAGTGAAATTAGCAGTCAAGTGACAAATTTGATTTAGAAGCTGGGATACGACAATATTTTATTAAAAGACTTTAAGAAACACAGACACTTTGGGTTTGTCCCTCGAATACCTTGCATCAAATTAGTAAAACCATATTTAAGAAACATCTTTTGAGGTAATTCATGTTTTGGGAGAGCAGTGTTAATTTGGAAAGTCCAGCAAGGCTTTAACTGTGCTTTTTAATAGGATTTGTTATAAGAATAAAAGTTCTTACTTGTATTCATCAAGGTCCACACTTTGCAACAGGAAAATTCATACAGTGGATGGTATTCAACACATTATTGTTCCATTCATTAATGGATCTGTTTATGTATTTAGTGCGTAGTTAAGCTTTTAAACCAAAAATTTCAAACTTGGTAGTTTATGGTTAGTTTCCCAGATCGCTGTTTCTGTACTGGTGCTGATTTGCATGCATGAGTATTTTTCAAAAGTTAAGCCTATGTCTTTGCAAGATCAGGATACAACTCTGTGCTTAATGAACGATCTAATTTTCCAAAGCTTGCATGGAAGACTAAATTTTTCGAGAGTGTCTCCACCATATTGATCTCAATGGGAGTTTCTGAACACTTAGGAAAATCTGATGACTACTTAGGAACTGAACTCTTCTAAAAATGTGACCTTCCCTATAACCAAATTAGAAAATGTTGATTTTTAACTACATTGCAAATATCTTGCTACATACTAAGTTGAAACTGTTAAAATTATATTTTGTTATTAAATAGGGAGGAGATATTTGCAGCTTATCAGAGTGGGTAGTTTTAGCTTACATATTAATTTAAGAGTGCTTCTAATGCTTAAACAAATGTTCTGTAAAATGAAACTATAAAAACACAGGATTTATCTTCTGTTATATTTATATACAAATAATGTTTCCATGGTGTGCTGACTGTATTTAAGATGGCATCTCCGGTTGTATTTCCTTTATTTGGAGGACATTTTTCCTTCCTGAAGACACAAAACTGGGGAACATCATTTTTATAATGTTCAGAGGTATACTGCATCAGAGTTGAAGTCTAAAAATGTCCTATCTCAAGCCTTTGTAAAGGATGTTCCCAGCTAAAATATCTGTTCTTCTGTTAGGAACCACTGAATATATTTTCACCAGTTGGGTAAATACTTGTCTGTGAATGCAGGGGACTGGATTTGATGTCCTAGGAAGCTCTTTCCAGTTCTCTGTTTCTATGGAAAACTGTACCCACTGCCAAAATTAATGTCTAATTTCATAGATTTCATAGACATTATTGCTGTAAGGGACCTCAGAAGATCATCGAGTCCAGCCCCTCCCTCCCACCATGTTGCAAAAAAGTCAAGTTAAAGGGGCTCTTTCATAATATACTGTGTATCACTGGCTTGAGCTTCCAACTCAGGATGATGCAAGATGTTAAAATAAAGGAAGATTCTTAGAAAAATAAAGGATAACTTTCAACAACTTTAGTTTTAATCTAAGTATTTTGAGCAGATTGTAACAACCCCTGGGTTAGTGGGTGCCGCTCCTTTTTAGGAAGACTGCCATAAATTAGCCCTGTACCCTCCCCAAGTGTCACTCTTTTATCCTCTTCCCCTGTCTGATCTGCTGCTCTATTTTCTGTTCCACACCCTGTGCCCCTGCACAATCTACTCCTCTGCTTTCTGCTTCCTGCCCTATAGCTTTCTGCTTCTTGTTGTGTGCTCCCTCCTTGATCTGTTGCTCTGCTTTCTGTTCCCTGCCATATCTGCCACAGTGCTGCCTGTCCGCTTCTCACTCTGCCACATTCCACACACAAACTGCCTGGACCACTCGTGGCACATGCTGCAGTTTGGCCACCCCTGCCATAGAGTATGTAAATATTTTAACTGCTCTGGGCTTTTTAATGCAGATGCTCCTTTTTATGCAGCATTGAGAAGTAAGGAGAATAGAACTTGGTTGCCTTATTTGTGTGCTTATGTAAGGCTTCTGTAGCAAACATAGGGTTACTTCCTAGGCCCGTGTGCTGCACAACTGTGTAACGACTTGTAATCTGTCAAGATACCCAACATAAAGCAGAGATGTTTTTATTTGTGTTCTGAGAACTCAGTTTAACTACACACAAAAGGTGCCAAATTTAAATACATTTTGGGTAAAACTGAAATTTTGTGAAGACAAAGTAGTGTTGCAGAAGGGCAATTAGAAAAATGGTTGGTGGTTTGAGTAATTATTAATTAGGTCTGTTTTCTGTATTATATTGTCCCTATCTAGTTTTACTTAACCAATCTGCTTTTTTCTGATTCGAATTGGTAGGTAACGTGGATGGTTTATCTGTCGCTTTTTTTTTTTTTTTTTTTTACACTGGAGCTTGATGAACTAAACAAATATAAAAAAAGATTTCAAGGAGAAAATTGCTGTTCAAGTCTCTGGGAATTTTGGTATTGAATTAAGTATATGATCAGGAAAATGTATGGGATCTTTAGGCATGAAACAGTAGTGCTTGGACAAAAATACTTTAACTATAGCACAGATTAAAGTACCATCAAGTATGTACTATTTGATATTTCCATATTTTAAAAGAGAAGGTGGGACTTGTGCTTTAAGGGTTTTCAGGTGTAAAGGCCTGATGATTTCTTCAGTTCAGTTTGGTGAGTTTGGAATGACTGGCTTTTGATTCTAGGCTGTTCATCTCAATTTAATTAAAATCCCAGCTTGTAGATAACCAATCAGAAAAGATGTCTTCTATTGTAAAATATTACAGCCTTTAAGTGTGAAGGGTCAGATTTTACTATTTATAGGGTCAGAGATGAGGTAATGACACTTTCTTTTACTTCTCTTTCCCATATATAGTTGGTCACCTGTTTAAACTTTGGTCATAAAAGTGTTAGGGGTTCAGGTAAATACCAAATACTATTTTTCAACAGTTAATACATTAGCATGACTTTTGGCATGTATTAGTAAAAAGGTCAGGCTGTAAATTCTGGTAATTATTTCTGTTTAGTGCCATTATAGAGCAGGTAATAAAAAACCCCAATTCTGTTTCCCTTGAAATCAGTGGCAAAGCTCCCTTTGGTATCAGCTGTGCAGAATAACCCCCACAGTTCTTACCTGTATTACATTGTATAAAATAATATTTAAGAGTACTATCAGCTGTCAGTATTTTGTATATGGTGTCACAAGTTTAGCTTAAATACTCCTGGTAATTCGACACTATTCCTAAGAATAGTTCGGCATATGCTGAGAAGGTGGTAATAGCACATTTATTTTTGACCTTTTTTTCCCCACAGTTATAGCTGTTTTACATTCTGCACTTCATCCAGCAGGGGGCTCCCTTTCTAAGCTAATCAAAATCATGAGCTTTTTTCATAAGCTTCATTCATTAAAGAAGAAAAAAATGTTACTGATTAATCTCCAGCCTTGACAATACTAAGTTCTCTTGTTTAAATTTTGATGCTAGTGCAGAGTTTGTTCCTCGATACCTGGCTGAAGCTATTTGGTAAAACAAAGTGTGTGCTACATGATCAGGAGTTTGTACCAATGAATTACTCAACCTTTTGGTCTCTTCTGTCTCCCACTTCCTGCAT